GGAATCATTCTAGAATCCATTTTTTTTTCAAACATGAGCATATTCTCATTTGGCTTGTTCAGGTCCGAAAGTGTTTCTGTGGAAGCCAATGAATGCTCAGGTGCGATTTAACATCACACCTCTTACAGTAAGCATGAGAACAGTGTTCGCTATAATGAACTGTTCTAGGGAACATGGGGGAATCTTCTGATGATGACGACCCTCTTCACATTGATGATGAGCTGCAGGTTCTATATCACTCCATCACGATTATGACGCCTTTATTTTCTCTTTGTGCAGACTAACATATCACCTCTGCCGGTGCCATCCTGTATAATGGGTTATGCTGGTAGATTGTATGATCCATTGAAGATATTGTGGTTAAAACTACGAAAGTTAGGATGTATCGTGGATGCAGTTCAGGTAGGACTTAGTCCTGTAACTGATTTATTCACTTTTTCTTATTTTATTGGTATGAACCACTGTATTCTAGATTTTCGTCTTCGCGGAAAATAGTGTGCCTCTGATGATTCCAGGTCAAACCTACTCGCAGGAAACTAAAATGCAATGTGGATCGCTGTATATTCAAAGGTGGACCGTTTGAGAGTATTCAGTTGAGCTGCACTCTTCCACCGAATGTTGAACTTGCAATCCGGTGGATTTGTATCTGTGTGGTGAGTTCATAAATTATGTAAATTAGGAAAGGCATAAGGAAACAGTTACAAAATGTGCAATTACATGAGAGGTACCACACCTTCTATATGTAAGATGGGAAGGTGCAGAACCGTAAGAGGTTACCTCCGTGAAACATCGTAACGATGAAGCTAAAGGCCTGTGTTGCTTGACGCACCCATTCACGTTATGGACGCTGCTCGTTTGCAACCTTCTTGTTGGGATAATGGTTGAAAACCTTCGGAAGTGGTTTCGGCATATTTCGGGAAGAAGTCAGTTTCGATTAGGAAATGTACCATGGAAGGCGGAACAAGCCTCTCTGATAACTCTCTTAAAATCTGCTATCTAGGATTAGCTGAAAAGCGAATAATACAGATCCGCCTTCCGCAATATTTCACGTTAATTCCTATAAACGCAGTTGTCTATGAGAACCAAGGGCCCTTTATCCTCTGAGAGAATGCTTAATTTGAATTTTTGCCATATGGGAGTGGGCGCCAACATAGTTCCGGGGGTACCACTCTCCAGCTACCTTCGGCACGACCCCTTCAAGCGCTTCCTTCAACTCTTTCTTCTACCACCCTGGCGCCAGCATGACAGCTGTCGACGCCGAAATAATGGAGCTGCATAAGGACAATGTCTCCAGTTATCACTAATTATGTACTACCATAGGGATCACCTACAGTGATACTTCACAGACCTCTAAGGCCGCGTTCATATTTGCGACAGCGACCATCAGCGTTTCGAGCGTCCGTGAACGTCAGCGACTAGGAAAGCACAGTATCGATCTAGCGAACGGCAGCGCCTACCGGCGTCCACCAGCGACCATTAACGTCTCCAGGGACTAGGAAAGTAGATGTAGATCTAGCGTCTACTAGCGACCAGTAGTGGAGATTGTGGGGAAAGCAAGGTGTAGCAGACGGGTGGAACAGAATGGGGAACTGCGAGCGAGGAGTCAGCTGGCTAAGGCGTTGTGAAATTGTGTCGTGTGCAACCGCACCACACTACTACACAAAACCATACTCCTAGTCTCTGAGGGACGCTGGTGGACGCTCCTGAACGTAGAACGTTCGCTGACGGGCGCTGCCGCAAAGTTTGAACGCAGCTCAATGGACCTTGAGTCATCAGCGATAACACCAGTTATAGGAAGCAGACAAGTGGTTTTTGTGCTGTGCTAGAGCACGCATTAGCATAGTGCAGTCGTAAACACTGGCTTTCCTCATCATGCCCTTTCGAGCGACAAAAGTGCGAAGAGTTTTCTACGAGCCAGCCCAACCCAACACGGAAAGTCTGTACCATGAATGTCTTTCAATCTCGGCGGTTGAGACAGGTTGACTGAATACGGGTGTACAGACAACTCGAACCCCATTTGATCGTGTCAGCTTTCTGTTTTCTTTGCGCTCTCACGTTCACGCTCACGTCCATTAAATTACCACCGTGACTTTACACAATCCAACTTTTCACGCATGATAGGTAGTTTAATAGGTCCAGCCACTCTTCTCCTAAAATAGCTTATCCCCTGGCTAGCGAAATGCTTTTTGTACCTTCTGATGCCCTGGCAAGCGTGTTCCTTTGCTTCTCTGCGCTCTGGCCTTTCGCGCTAAGACCCACGTCAGAGGTTCCAGCTCATGTAATCCCTGAGTGTGTATAGAAATGAATGTTGGCTCGCAATTAGCTTATAGATGATTCTCATTAATCTTTCAGTCGGATATAAGTCGTCAAAATGACTACATCATCAAATTCATCAATCTTCTCGAGAAAGGAAAAGGTATGTGAACCTCGTAACTTAAAGAATAACCATTATACGTATTGATTCCGGGTCATATTTTTTTCAGGTGGAACTTTACCACCTACACAGATTGCGTCACGTGAACAACTGATTTCTTTCCCATTTCGAGTTTGCAATCGTCATTTCTCCACAGAACCTGACGAAGGTATTCCAGCAGTGCCGAAGTACCACCTTCCCGGGAAACTGCCGATCTCCAGAGAGGTAAGTTTGCTGTCTTGCACCAGCACGTCCAGTTTGGTCTTTGAATTTCTCTTATGTCCGGATACGTTTCAAGGATATGCTGTCGAAACTCCGTCGTCGCTATATATTTTTATCTGAATTGGGTTATGAAGATCTTGAGATAGATAAATTAGGTATGGCTGACAGTTTCAAGCATTTCGCCCTTAAAAAAGAAATCTTTCTCTAAAACTTTTTCAGAGCCAAATGGTGTTTTGCCTCGACCTTCGGATGCACCGCTTTCGTGCGCTGTTCCTGGTTGGTTTTGTTGTTATTTAATCGGACCATCGCGTAATACAGAAGAACAAGTCGAATTGAAAAAAAATGGCTAGGAAAAACTGCTCGTATGCCTACAACGTAGTCGCTGAAAGTTAGAAGGAAATCTGCGCTGTGATGATCTCCAGAAAATCATTTCGTAATTGCCAATCGAAAGGAATGGGGGAAATGTGAATAGGTGT